GGTAATGGGTATTCCGGTTTAATATCTAACAAGTTTCTAACTAAAACTAACAAACGCGGACTAGCTTTCATTTAAACATTCTTCCCTTGAATTCGATTCATTAGCTTATTAAATACGCATTCCATTATTACAAGAACCGGTTCAGAAAACTGGGTTTATAAAGTTGCTGAATGGCCTCTTGTGGTGCTTCTGGGTAAATGCAGCTTCACTTGCGCACGTTTGATTAAGTTATCCTTTAGCCAGTTGTAGTCGGAGTTGAAGCCGGAGATATGAGTTGCTATTTTCTAGCAACTCCATGACGTCAAATCTGTAGTTCGTTTACCGAGGCAAATAAGTTTTCTTTTTCTCGGAAGCGAAAATTTCTAATTTTAAACGCCTTGTGAAAAAAGTCTACCTAGCTTTGGTGGTAATTTTATTTATAATTAAACTACGTATAGTACATACAGCGGCCTGCGCCCATTCTCACTTGTCTGTAAAAAATTATAAATAGAATAAGAAAATGGTTCGGCATTCATTTGGCTGCGCAAGTGGTGTTGCATCAGCTACCTTATAATATCGCGCAGCTAGAAAGAGAGCAATTAACGCTTAACCACGGCCTCCTAGATTCTACGATATACAGGGCTATTGATGTTCGGTGCTCGTAAGACGTGACATCGAGGAGTAACAATTTGAGACAATAAGGAGTGACAATTTGTAGAGTGGCGTCGTATCTGCCGTATTTGAAGCTACTTCAAAGGTTAGCCGCCATGTTTGTTGTGGGCAACACCATTACATGCGCATAATTGGCAATTCGATCAAAGAGCATTTACAATACGTCAAATATTTAAAATGTGATGAGATTAGTTCAGATTCATTTAAAGAACAAAAATTTTAGACCAAACCACGACCACGAAAATGTTGATTTGATTAATTTAATAAATTTGTACTCAATTTTCATACATTTTACTGCAATATTCCACGCAAACTTTGCAGTACTAAAAGACGCAATAATAAAATATGGACTTGTCATAATTGAAATTCACCAAAAGTCAAACCTATAAATAAAATGTATATTAGATACGCCAAATTACAGCATCCTCTCTACTTGGATACACATTATATCAATTTCATATTCCAATATATTCTGTTTGCAATTATATGCTGAACAACAGGCCATGTTAATTGACTAATTAATAAACGCTGAGAAAAAAACGCAGAAAACTTCTACTTTTAACTAAGATCCGAAGCAGCCGAAGTAATGCATAATGCTTCAAGCAGGAGTGTTTTATTTACCACAGTTCCTCTTGTACATATAACAGAAGCTCACTGAATGTCATAGTGAAGTTGTGGAAGAAAAAAACACTTTTTTCTGCAGGCCTCTAGGAATGAGATTTAAAAAATCGTGTACTTAACTGGACTGTATTTTTATGTCGTACGCTACATACGCGAGAGAACCAAAACCGTTTCTTATTAGGAAGTGCCAGGAGATATAGTCTCAAAAAAGACATTTAAAAAAGTGGTCTTCGATGGATAACCCCGTCCAAAGGTTATCCGAATATCACACCATAGTCTTTTGTAACAGTTTTAGTAAACTACCAAGACTTCGCCATCTGTTCCTTGCTACAATGACTTCGACAAATTGACATTTCTTTGATATTATAAACAAAGAGAAAGCAACTGCGACGGCAAAAGTATAAAGCAAATTGAAGACACATCGTGCCTCATTAAGTGATGATTAACGTTCCTTACAAACAAAACGTCAATTAGGTAAGATTGGATGGAACTATTTTCAAATATTTACACATTTGATGGAATGTAGTAACTCCTTATACATACATTGAAGTACGTAGATAACAACACTCATTCATCAAAATAATTACAACATAAAGAGTTCGTACTGACATTGCACGTAAAACAATAGCATTCCCCACAACGAAGCCTGGACATAACCTCTCAGATACTGCCGGTCACGCTCTACCTGCCGTTACCAGGACGTTATTACGCTACAATTCTCATCCCCCGAACGCATCCTGTCTAATATAGCAATAGTCCAAGCCCTAGGGCTGCAGCCGAAATGGAAGAGCCCGCGCCTACCTCTGCACGTGCCAGTGCCAGTGCCAGCGCCGGCGCCGGCGCCAGCGCCAGGCAGCCCGTGGGGCCGCAGCGTCGCGCGCCCGTGGGGCTCACCGCGGCGCGCAGCTCGGTCGCGGTCCGCGTCGTCCCCCGCCCGCGAATCCGCCGCCCTCATCAATGCGCGTCGCCGGGGAAAAACAGCTCGGAGCGCGACTGGAGAACACGCCCTGCTTCGCGGAGGGGCCCACGGCCCACTATGACGCTTGCTTTTCGGCGGCGACAGCTGAACGGCGGCGCCTCCGCACGCGACAATCGACAATGTCAACAGAAGAACGTTCGCGAGCGCGCCGACGGACGAGAGCGAAGCGAGGCGAGGCGAACCGCCGACGGATTTAGAAGCGCGCTCCAGCCCAAGGTCGGCCGGGTGAAGACCGGCGCCATCGAAATAATAACGCGCACCGCGGCAGTGGGCCGAATTTATCACACACGGGCGTAGGGGTTGGCATTTTCCCAATGAAAAGCATTTTTTGTCAGTTCAAAATGTGGATGGCCAACACCGGTATGCGCAGTATGACTTATTTGAAAATAAAAAAAAGGTTAATTGTTCCGATAACTCTGCACTTTTTTCTTGATAAAAGTTTCCAAATCAATTTTAAGACAATACGTCTTCTAATCTTCGTTTTATTTCATTCGTACTAGGTTTTGGAGCTCAAATGTGTCTCCATCATCAGGTTCAAGTTCAAATTAGTAGGAAAAATTGGCAGTTTTTATTTTTATTAATTTTAATAAATTTATTTTATTTAAAATATTCTAAATTGCACGTATATATGAAAATATAAATGTCATTAACACAAAATCATTGGAATTTTAAATGTAATAAAAAGAAACCGTACATCACATACGTAGCCAGGTATGAATCTGATGTCAGATACGAAATTTTAAATTGAATTCAGGTTTTTTTCAAGATGACATTATGCACTGCAATTGAGAAATACCTAAACATTTAAGTTTAATTTTCTGAAGTTCGAATACACTTGGTAGAAAACTCTTTAATTCCAACACGGGAGAAGCGAGGTGTAGTTCGACGCGACTAGAACTGCTGGAGAGAAAGATAATTTTTCTTCTGATCCTTCAAATTTAATTTTAAAATACTTCAAATTAATCAATATCAAAATACTTTAAAATTGTTAAGAGCGTCCAAGACGCCACACTTATGCTATTACATTTTTATTTTCACGCTGAACTTGAAAATCCCTACGGATATTTCCCTCCGTTGCACCTTATGAAGAAAAGCGGATATTTCTTGGTCGCTATATTTACTTCATAACAAACTCGGACTAGAGCAAGCTAGTAAATATTTGTGTAGTTTATCTCTAATAACATTTCCAGAGCATGCACTATCCGGAATGTTCAACTTTCAGAGAAAATCTACTTATTGTCTTGTTATTGTTTTTATCTCCCACTGGCAGGCGCCTTTCGCTTCGCTTCGGACCAGTGAGCGGCCGCATCCGAACGTGCCAAACGCTCGGTTGTCGTCGGCTCCATTTCAATGCCGAACAGCCTATATTTCACGGCTCGTTAGTCGGCGAGACGCCACAAGCGTCTGCAGTCACAATACAAATGGATGTTTAGCAGTTAATAAAGAAGCATGGTAACTAATTCTCACATCTTAATAGGCACTAATTATCTTGCAAAATCATGCTCATCGCTTGCTTATCGCACATTCAGAAAATTTGAGATTCATTTCATTTAAAACAGTTTGATGAAAATACTTACCTTTTCTTCATAAACATATTTCCCATGGAGAGAGTATATAAAATTCTACATCTTTATCAGAATATTTAATATCTATTTTAAATTGATTTTAGTAAGGTTTTCTCATTAGCAACTGTGAGTACTGAGCAATTAGCAGCAACTTACTTGTCTAACTCCAGCTAACACCTTTTCACGTTATGTGAAAAAACTAAAAATTCATCAATAATCAATTACGAATATAAAGATAATTGATAAATGACTCATTCAAGAATCTAACTAATAGACTGTGGATATCGAATCCTTTGTTAAAAGTGCCTTCACGTTTTGCCACACTGTTCGTAGCTAAATATCTCAAGAACTTAAAAAAGTATATTTTCGGATCCTTTTTCTACGCAAGGTGCACTTTACACAAAGAACCACACCACAAAAAAGTACACAAACACATCAGAAAAAGAATGTAACGAAGACGATGCAAAGTATGCGAAGTATTTCGGCCACTAGGTTCAGAAAAAAATCCGCTGTGCATGGTTCCCGAATAGTGTTAACAAAAATTCATTTTCTATATTTTTGTTGTATTTTTATTTCTTTGCCCTGATATTATGGAAATATTTATGACAGAAGCCAATATTGACGTATAGAATATTTTGAACGCCCATTATAGTGACTACAAATAAACGATTAATATGACTTAGTTATTCCCAAGATCAATTACTGTCCCATTTATTAACGAAACAGCATACTTATTTCTGAATTCACGTCATCGGGTGGCCGGAGTGTGAAAAAAGACGCTTTTTCTTGAGTTTTCCTTTTTTTAGCATTTCACAGAATGTCTGGTATAAACGGCAATTCTTCAGAAACACTTCGGGAACAAACATTACCTAACCAGGTTCAAAGAAGCAAAACAAACATACAGAAATAAATGCAGACAAACGACCGCACAGAAAAAAACCAACTTCCGCCCTCCCAAAAGTCGCGCGAATCGCCAGCGCTAGAGGGACCGTCGACAGAAGACAAACACCGGAACCGCCAGCGGCCTTTGGGGGCGACCCGGCGCCCGCCGCCCTCCTTACGCACGTGAGTGAATCAAGGTGCTATTTCGATCCCGGGTTGCATCAACGAATGACGCGCCTCCCGCCCCGCGGGGGCTATTTTGGGGCCGGCCGTTGCCATGACGACGTATATAAACGCGAGCGCGGCCGCGCGGCGCCACTGGGGAAGGAACCGCGCGCGCGAACGGATTAACAGCGCACTCCCCCAGCCACGCACGCACGTCAGACAAAGCAAGCTCCGCCATGCCCGTCAAAGTGCCGGCCATCGGCATCGACCTCGGCACCACCTACTCGTGCGTGGGCGTGTGGCAGCACGGCAAGGTGGAGATCATCGCCAACGACATGGGCAACCGCACCACGCCCAGCTACGTCGCCTTCACGGACGCCGAGCGCCTCATCGGCGACGCGGCCAAGAACCAGGTGGCGGTGAACCCCAGCAACACGGTGTTCGACGTCAAGCGGCTCATCGGCCGGCGCTTCGACGACCCCAAGGTGCAAGAGGACCTGCGCAACTGGCCCTTCATCGTGGCCGACGCCGACGGCAAGCCCAAGGTGCAGGTCGAGTACAAGTTCGCCACCAAGACGTTCGCGCCCGAGGAGCTCAGCTCCATGGTGCTGGCCAAGATGAAGGAAACGGCAGAAGCCTACTTGGGCGCTAAGGTAAGCACACCAGCGAAGCGAAGTGTTTTCAAGTGTTTTTTTTTTGTACTTTCTCTGCTGAAAACAATAGTAAATAATAGTGTTTCGCGTAAAAGTTGATTTTATATGGAAAACAATGTACTAAAATGAGAAGTTTTCAACAGGATTTAAAAGCAACAGTGACTAATTATTCGACAAAAAATAAAAATAAATGAGAGTGCAAATTCACTACAAACTTCAAGACAACCCATACTTTCGCGTTCATTACTTTATTGTATCATATAAAAATAGTGATCACTCCAACAATAAATTCTTCCTTATGAACCAATGTGCTGATACACTGCCACAAGCCTTCCAAATACTTGCTTATAAATTTCGCAATCAAATTACGAAACTTTCTTACATTTACGAAATGACCCACGAAAGGGGAATTTACAATACTTTTCCCGAGAATATTGCAATAATTACATAATAGACAATGGAAATTACAAATCACAACATTCTTGCGTGTTTATTCTCCACGCGTACTCAATGTGAGTGAAGTAACACCTACAGTAATAAAATGTTAGATACATTATGTGGCATATAAATTTGAAAGACTTCAAAAAATGATTCCTTATATTTCACCAGGGGGTCACCACATTTTAATTTAGTAATTTATCGATATGATACGTATTAACATAAAGCCCTGACATTTTGCACTAAAGAACGGTTCTAGAAAGAATTGATCCAAAAGGTCGATTACGTAAGAAGTAAAAGCATTTTTCTTCGCACAACAGCTTGATATTAGACTCTGAACAGAAACATCTCGAAAACCTAGTGACGTCAGCACATCACGTGGTAGATGAGAACCTTCCATGCGCAAATCGGTTATACCAAACGGCAAATGGCGATGGTCGTTGCTGAAATCATCGCGAGAACAGAAAATTATATTTTTATTAGTTTATAAAACAAGCAACTACATATCAAAATCAGCACAAACATGATAAAGTACTAAAATAAACGTTGAAGACAATTTTCTCGAACAATTATTAATGCCGAAATGTTACATAATAGTAGAAACTTATAGATACATAAATTCAAAAAAAAAAATCGCTATTGAGGAAACATTCCTTAAAGTTATCAATGAACTAATTTTTCCATTTTTCAGAAACACTAACTCGAAACACAAATACTCTAGAACATGTTCAAGATGTGTGATTTTTTTATTTAAGCTCAATCCAATTCTTGGTTAATTGTTTATAGTTATTGTACGAGTCGATGTCGCTGAAATCCTTAAGAGATCTAATGTGACTCACACGTTGCCAAGGAGTAGAGATTATTCTATGAAATGGCATTAGTTCTTTAAAATGCACGTAATATAAACCAGGTCTCATATCACAGTACCAAACTCTCTTCTCACACACCTGCCGCCAATCGCCCAAATATCTACACACATCGTGAAAAACTGTTTGGGATTAAACGTAATACTGAATCTATGGAAACTTGAAACAATCAAATGTTGCATCATTCTTCGAAATGTGATTGTTATTTATACATTATCAAAGGGATACGAACTTCTTTGTTAACAAATGTATGATGAATGTTAACATACCTCTGCACTCTCTGAAGAGATTAATATTTCCAATTTTTGTGCACTAAATGGACTTTCAAAAAATGAACGGTTTTTCTTCCTAGTGCCTCCGAAATTATTGTCGTGGCGGTGCACCAGCAATTAATAGATCCTAGTTGATAAGTAGTCATTTTTCGTCCTACAATCCATAAGCAAACTCTTCTCTACTTCATATTCAATATATATATTTTTCTGTAAGTAGTATTATACTGACTGTATTAATCCAGGGACACATTTCCAGAGACAGGGAATGGTGTATCGTTCCAATGATCAATTTTAGGTAGTTTGAAGTTAAGTAACGCATTAGTGTGACGTGTGCAGGTCCGCGACGCCGTCATCACGGTGCCGGCCTACTTCAACGACGCGCAGCGCCAGGCCACGAAGGACGCCGGCGCCATCGCGGGCCTCAACGTGCTGCGCATCCTCAACGAGCCGACGGCCGGCGCGCTGGCCTACGGGCTGGACAAGAACCTGCAGGGCGAGAAGACCATCCTGGTGTTCGACCTGGGCGGCGGCACCTTCGACGTGTCCGTGCTGAGCGTGGCCGAGGGCTCGCTCTTCGAGGTGCGGGCGACGGCCGGCGACACGCACCTGGGCGGCGAGGACTTCGACACGCGCCTCGTCGCCCACCTCGCCGACGAGTTCCGGCGCAAGCACGGCAAGGACGTGCGCAAGCACGCGCGCGCCCTGCGCCGACTGCGCACCGCCGCCGAGCGCGCCAAGCGCACGCTCTCCTCCAGCACAGAGGCCGGCGTCGAGGTGGACGCCCTGCTCGACGGCGTCGACTTCTACACCAAGGTGACGCGCGCGCGCTTCGAGCAGCTCTGCGACGACCTCTTCCGCTCCACGCTCGACCCCGTGCGCAAGGCGCTCCTCGACGCCAAGGTGGCCAAGGCGGACATCGACGAGGTAGGCGCGCCTCAATACAACAATCTTCCATTTCTAGACCTCCTGCTCTGCAACACTTCTTTTCCCTTCATTCCTCGTGGCTTCCTCTTGCTTCAGGCCTCTCACCAATGCTTTTTATTGTGCACGGTCTGTTTGCGATGGGTGAATTTCCCATAGCCCCTCATCCAAAATTAACAAATGCTAATGTAAAGTGAACGTTTTCTAAATGAAAACAAAAACGTTATATTGTCCGCTTTAAAATGCTTGATATCTCGTGAGTTAAGAAATGGAGAACTATCCGAGCTTAAATGTTTGAAATTGAAACTTCGAGTTGCATAGCAGAGATACCTCTTAGCTCACCAGAGCAAACAATTTTAATTGGAGAATAAATTGGTTTACCGTACTTGGACAGTACTATCACATCCAATTCAAATTCGCTGGCGTCAAAAACCATAAGAAACAATTCTTTTAAAAAAAATATTAATTATTTATCAACACTAACTATTACGAGCTCTTTTTATATACATTACATGCACAACTATTTTAAATTAATACTAAGTTTAAAATCAACTTTCGTTCGAGTAAATACTCATAATCAACAAAATTCGGTCGAAAATTAATATTCTTAAGTCACAAAGCATCAGACTATACACATACCCTGGCACACTCCTCAGATCAAACCTATGAGCAAAAGGGGGGGGGTATGCACGTCACCTGCATTCTTCGCTTATTCACGTCTCCCAAAGAGACGCCAGCGCACTGCGTTCGAAGAGTATTGCTCTGTCAGCCGCTGATTCCTCCCGTGAGACACCCGCGTGATCCGGGGTGCCTATTCAGCACCCGGCGCGCGACCCTGGCAGGGCGCCCGGGCCGTGCACCACGTAAGCCCCCGGCGCGAAAACTGCATTTCATTTCGTCGGGGCGTGACGCGCGCCTAACGCCGCCGCCGCCGCCGCCGCCTCCACAGCGCGCGCGCCCCAAATTAAACGCTCCAGGCTTCTCGATGGCGGCGCTGGAACACGGCCAACGCCCGCGCGCGCACTCGCGCCCCGTGTCCCGCCCACGCCCCTGGGGCGTTTCCTGCCGCTATCTGCGCACATCGAGCTCGAGTGCGAGGTACTAGCAACGGAGGGTGACCTGATTATAGGCCATTTCCCGTTCCCTGCATCATGCGTTCTTAAAATGTTGAGAACGATCTCGAAATAAACTTTGTGTCAGGTGTCAAAAGTAATGAACATATACAACATTTTACATTGGTACAATTAATTATTAAGTCAGACGTTTCTGCCAGTAAAAGTATTTATAACCATATTTTCAATCTATAAATAGTTTAGAAAGAAAATTATATTAATGTAACATTAGCTTGTTTCTCTGCAAAACATATTTTATTAATTCTGAATTATCGGAGGTGCTCATGCAAAACATGCATTGCGTATGAAATAAACATACCAAATACTAAAATCCTCTAATCCGGCCACATTTTCATTACTCCACAAAGAAGGAAGCGTATCTTCTCCTTTCAGTGTGGCAACTGAATTTATAATTGTAACGAATTTGGTATTCTAAATTAAATTAGAAGAATACTTAATTCCATTATCAAGACAGTCTCTAAACTCAATGTTTAGAGACTGTCTTGAACGAAAGACGAATGAGTCTGCCGAAAAGCTTCTATTTAGTAACAGTCAACGTCCCGGATGTTGTCACGTGAGGCGGATGACAAAGATCCAACAGCAACACCACTCTGTTCTCCTGCACCCTAACCTGAACTCGTTCCAGAGATCAAACCCGATAATGTACTTTGGTTACGCAAACTTTTTTTTTCAAAGCCCCAAATTTCTATGTGCACAAGCAACTAAAGGCCTAGATTGAAGCATACATCTATTTATCTAAATGATATTCAAAGTCTAATTAACGAGTTTTCTAGTTTCTCAAAGAGAATTAATATTTCATAACATGCAAACATGTGTATACAAGAATCCTCAATTTGAAGGCGTTTATAGCAGAAATATTTATCTTGTTTTTTCCATAAACAATTATTTCATTTCAATCATTAGGTCAACGTAATCTGAAGCTCTATTAATTCACATTCATTTTGGAAAATAAAGCAAAGCCGCACCCACTTCAGAATCTCAGATCACTTCATGCCAACGATATTTAATTATTGACGTAATCTCAGCACGACTTCGTTCATAGAAAAAGAAAATTAGTGGCTAAATCGCATCCTACATATTTGCTATATTAATAGCCTTTTCAAAATTCCTACGGTAGATATTCCAAACGCTTAAAATCTCGCAAGTATTTCAAAGCCAGTAGTCAGGGCGGTAGACCGAGCGAATGACTGCGTGAATGATCTCCGTCGCTGAGCGTGCTGCAACCGCGTCTGGTGCGCAGGTGCTGCTGGTGGGCGGCAGCACGCGCATCCCCAAGATCCAGCGCCTGCTGCAAGACTTCTTCCACGGCAAGGCGCTCAACCTGTCCATCAACCCGGACGAGGCGGTGGCGTACGGCGCCGCCGTGCAGGCGGCCGTGCTCAGCGGCGACACCAGCCGCCAGATCGCCGACCTGCTGCTAGTGGACGTGGCGCCGCTGTCGCTGGGCATCGAGACGGCCGGCGGCGTCATGAACAACATCGTCCACCGCAACACGCGCATCCCGTGCAAGCAGACGCAGACCTTCACCACCTACCACGACAACCAGACCGCCGTCACCATCCAGGTGGGTGCTCTTCTCGGGGTCGCCCTCGCGACGAATTGGTCCTTCGCCCTCGCCCTCACGACGTATTGGGGCAACGGGATGAAATGCACCGTTTATTGCTCGAGGTACAATGAGGGTGATAGCTGTTCAAGTTTGACACTCTACCCTGACACGAAGACTACTTCATTGTGACAGGAACCATAGTTTTCTCCTTCAACGTACTTCGTGCAAACATTTTACATGAATCGCCACACATTTACATAGCCAGTTCATTCCTAGATCCGATTGCATTTTGTTATCTGTGAGCTCTTTAGGTGATAATTATTTACAAAAAAGTGTCGTATCTCCTTTCTTTCCTACTCGTCCCAACCGACACCAATAGGCTGCCAATTTCCGTTAACTCTCTTGGCCATGCTCTAAAAATCTCTGAGCTTTCCATTCAAATTCTCTCCATTGCTCCCCACAGTTTTATCCAGTCCAACCAAACCTCGGAGTTTCTATTCGAACAAAGAAAACCAACGCAAAGATTGAATACTTGAATACCTCATAATATTTTCGTGGTACAGTTTACAGATACTCGTCATTCAGTTTTACCAAACACCCTCAAATGATTCACTCTAAATTTTATTATTTTCTGATTTAGATTTCATAATATTGTATGATTTTTTTGAACTTCGTAGTAAACTATTCCGGAATTTGACATAAATGACGACACAGTTCGATAAACCGAAGGTTTTCATTTTGCCGTTGGTTCTCGCCGAAAAAGGCATATGTAATTAAGAACAAACGTAATGAACACTTTCCGTTACCACCGCCATAAATGCAGTTTCTCTTAAAGAATGGATAATTTTGACGTATTTTTCTTTTAGCTTTTACACGCCTGTCGACTGCGCAAATATTTACGGAAGATCGGATATTGTCGACGAATTGAATTACGAGGCACTTTACGAACTGATTGCGATCTCCATTACAAACGGAACGATGATGAAAGGCTATCTGGAAGAAATCTCCCCTCCCATTTGCTGCACGGTTCCTTTCAACGGCGCATGAATACTGTTATCTTCACTTTAACAACCCGAATTATCGGACGAAGATCAGCTTCTCGCTAAAATTACATCCACTTCCCGGCATGAAGCATACACAAAAATGTAAGTACCAGGTTCAACTTTCCTGTGTTTGGAAATTGAATTACATTCACCGCGAAATCATTCACGCACACCACGAAAGAGAGGTGGGAAAGATCACAGAAACTTCACAACAAGTAATCACGGTCATTACACATTGTAGAGAACCCACAAGCTCTCTCTTCCGAAAACAACAGGTCTTGCCCCGCCTTAAAATGAGTTGGTTATGTGCAGATGTGAAAATTCGTACGGTGATAATTCTATCATACTTTTTGGTAGAGTTAAAAACTATGTTTTATCAGTTTCTTAATCAAAAAAGAACAGTCTCACCAAAAGAAAAATATATGTTTCAAAAATTAAAACAAATAACGTAAAGATGAATTTTGTAATTCGGCAAAAAAAATCAACATACAATATTTACGCCTCATGTCAAAAAAATCACAATGTTAGCACGAAATTATTAATACAAAATCAGAAGGATTCCCAAATACCCAAGTTCATTTTCAGATGGAATTACCAGACATTTTTATTTGTTTCTCTCAGTGCTCTCTGCACTTAAGTTGTTATTACTATTAGAGCCCGAAGAATTACACTTGTTTCCAGTCATTTTCAACTCACCTTTAATGTTTGCGGCGTTAACTCTAATTTGCAAAAATTACAGACGATTTTTCTGCAATTCATTTACATTAAATTCGATAGCTTTAAAAACAAAATCTCTAACTTCAATAATGAAAACATTTGTACTCTCACTTAGTCTTACTTTAAAAAGACATTGAGAAAAAATCTAGCAGGTTTTGAAAACATTGAGAATTTGAGCTTCATTTAAAGATCAAAGAGTTAAAGATTTCTATGAAAATCGCAGGAGAGACAGAGCTAGAGCCAGATCAAATGGAGAAAATCCATGTTTGCAAAAAAAACACACACCTACGGTTTAGGGGTAAATAATGTTTGCGTAGAGTAAGTGTCGTAACACTTCATTATTTAATATGATCCATCCAAACCCTATTATCAGAGAATCATTAAATTACCACGATAACTCTGACATATTTTTTCTTGCAAGGAAATGAAAAGGTTATTAAATCACGGCGTATTTGCGAAAGTTATGAACAAACATAAAACATATTAATGACGAATTGTTCACCTTCCTATTTTGTCGTCGGTAAAAGAGATAAAATTTCTGATGAATCCCGACTTTCATTCGCAGACCCCACCCCCCGGAGGGCCCACCATACGTCACAACGCGGTACGAAGAGTTAGGAGCCGCGCGCGGTCACATGAGGCGATCGGTGATCGGAAAGCGTCAAGGGCCGATCGAGTGCGAAGGCCGCCAATTAACCAACGGTAATGACCGCTAGGTCGGTTATAAACTTGGCGATTCGGACAGGGCGAGACGGCCAACGGCCAACGCCCAGCAACCCGTTCGACAACTGAAGTGGGTCACGAAAGGAAATCGACGTCGGCGCCTGCAAGGTCGATTGCATCGGAAACTGCACGGGTAGGACCACTGCCGCCCACACGCCCTTCGATAAGGTCCTACCAAATCATGTCTACTTCAAAAGCTGATATCCTTGGCCTTTCTTGCGACTGAAAATTAGGGCGCATTGTAAGCAAACGAAATGTTGCGTGAATGAGTGATTCATTATGAATCCCGAGATAAGAGCACAACTTCATTACAAACAGGCAGCCTTGGACAAAGCTGCCCCATTTACGTCAATTGTCTTCGTTACATCAAATCATGTTTCAAGCAGCATTTTCCAAGCGTACAATCATTTTATTAACAAATGAACAAACACAGAAAACAATATTAACCTACATTCCGTCATTCATTCATTCACATTAAAAACATGTTAGTGCTGGTAAATTATATTACAAGATATCTTTTAGGTCGTGTACTCAAGATTTAAGAATCATATTTGTTTGAAAATGTTAAAACATTTCAAAATTATTTTCACTCGATTGGATTTTTAGTTCGTGTTTGCAGAGCACGTTTTATCGAGGGTGCTGGAGGTGATCTCCCGCTGGATGGTGAGATTTCGATCCGACTTATGAGTAAGGTAGCAGCTTTCCCTAACTAGGCATCTCCCTAGCTGGCCCGACTGGACTACCGACTTATGTGGCAGAGTAGTTCATGTAAGTAAGGGGGAAATTTAAATCAAGGAAGTGGAAGGAAAGATCGCGCGCGAACTGAAGCCCGTTTGTTAGGCTCCGGCATCCGCTTTGTGTTGATCGGAGAAACCACGGAAAACTACCGGCCAGAGCAGCCGGCCGCTACAATTCTTCTCCAGACAGCGCCTGAACTCAGCTGCCTAGCACGCATCGAAAACCCTGCCACAGACGTGACTCAAACCTTAGAACCTCCCGGTCAGAGGCACCGCAATAACATTAATTGATGCCCTGAGCCACATAAGCTGGTGGTTCTTTCTACAAAAGAACAGTTTTAAGCGTAATTTTTAATAATACATTTTTACAGTATAAAGTACTGAAACCAAATTCATACCAATAGAATATTATTACAATAAGTCAAAGTTAGTATCAGCTATCGCACTGAATCAACAACATCAACATACTTCACAAATTCATCGATGCCTTAACGAACGCTTTTCCAGTGATATCTTCGTTTAGTTCAGCCATTGGTTTAACCGTACTGATCGACGAAATTCAAACAAAACAAATGTAAAACGGGAAAAGAAATAGCATTTTGAACATGCATCTCCACAGGCGGGGCCTTCGAGACGGACGAGCGACACGGATTGCCTTCCGCATCTGTCCGCTTGGGTGCGCTCGGCGCGCAAGGTCGCTCCCGATCTGAGGTCACGAATCGGCGCACACGCGTGCGCACGCGCGCACGCCCGCGACGGCGGAGTTACGTAAAGGCAGGCGCTGACTGCGGACGGCGAGCGCCTTTCCCCACCCCCATGCCCCGCCGCACCGAACCCACCTTCAACCCCCCCCCCCCATTTCATGGGCCTTTTGTTGGAGACCCTTATCAGATGATGAGGCATTTTGCCTCACATTATAAGTAATCTTCAAGAACCCACACAACAGAACATTAGTCTGATGTACTAATTTTCAGGTTAAATAAAATCCTCCGTCGATTTCGAAAATGAAAGTATTTTTCATTTAAAACGAAATGCAATGTCTCGACTTGTGCGTGCGGAACTAGTTATATGTACTAGGCCGAAACAAATTCGGTTGCTGTCAATGTTGACACGCGACTAGTTGACCTCTACTGTATTTTCAATTTCGCGGAAAATTGTAATCGTGACCAATTTTTGTGACGAATTGCCTGACACCCAGGGGCGGATCCAGCCCATCATTTTGGAGGGGGGGGGCATCATAGATTTAAAAAAAAACATTTGTGATGAAACTGTATATTGTTTTTATAGTGTATATATGATACTACACAAACATATTTTTTTTAATAATTCCATAATTCTAACAAATATTTAAATCATTTTTTTTCAAGTAACAAACAAAAACTCTACACCTTTCAAAGAGGGGAGGGAACGCCACGGCTCCATCGTTGATCCGCCACTGATGACACCTACCGTATTTTCACCTGCTTTTTGTTAGCCGTTTGCTTTTTTTTGTCGCTTAAACTTAATAGAAGCTCTTTTATATTTATTAAATGGGCAAGAGCAACGGATGAATCAATACATTATAAAATATGAGTGATCGCATACATAATTCAAAACCACTACGCATATTGTTTGTTACATCACAAATACTGTTTACCTACCTTACACATCGACACAAGCTTCGTTCTTCTTCTATTATTTTATAGAAAACTAGACGTTTGAAATACATTTGGAACTTTTTTGCTCCAGAGCGGGAACGTTACATAACGAGCAAACAAAGGGCAGAGCCGCCGCGTGGCTGGTGGCGTTTCGTAAGCGAAGCGCGTCGCCGCCACCCGCGCCCGTTTGTCCCACGCCCGCCGGCGCCTCGCCAGCGCCACAAGCCACTGCGGTATTTTCGCCGCCCCGCGCAATGTCGCAAAACGCCGGGGAGCCGTCGAACGACACGGCGACGAAAGACGTGAAAAGGGTAAAACGACAACCCTCGCCATTTCTCGTCTTCAACGCGGGGCTTACTGAGGGATAATGTAGTGACAAGATCTTACTCAATGCAAATCTATAAATTCTGGCATTTTATCTTTCTAAGCAGTGATACAGCCAAATTAAAACCAATATAATTTGACTGTCACGTAACTGGTTGATTTACTGTTAATGAAGATAGTATCACGCGAAGGTTTTTCATTTTGCACCTGCTGTCATAAGAAAAAGAAAATTGTTAATTAAATTTTAACAGATTTCACTTATAAGAAATATGAAGCCACGGAATTTATGAAAGTAAAAAAGTCGAAAAAAAATAGTAAAGTAGACTCTTGATTAATATTCGATAGCACAATCTCAACCGATGTAGGAGCTAAGATGTTACTATAATGTAAATTACACAAATCGTTCACAGGGCAAATTTTTAAGTTTCATTCACAACCTCAAGCATGATTACTGCTAAAGAATTTCGACTGACAAATACGAACTACCAGTACTCTGGAACTCTCATTTGATTAATACTGACGACCTACATTTGATGATTCATGGCTATTTCCAGGATCCTTTTCATGGTCAAAACTAAATCATACTTATCACGATGCAATAGAAACGGTATCTCCCCATAAATTTGATTGCAAATCCTGAAGCTGCTTCTAGAAATACGTCATTCAAATGGATATAATTTTCTTATGATTCTTTAATTTTAACATACAAACAACTATCTACATGTGCTAATTATTGTACAGAAATGTAAAGAAACAGGAATAAATCGAAACTAATGTCATTGCTACCAATTCAGACAGTTCGAAATTAGAGCTCACAGTTTATTACAGAAAATTATTCAGCCCCTCCGCTCTAGGATAGCGCATGAGTAGCATAATAGCTTGCCGTGGTGTGGTCCCGGGTTCGATTCCCGGTCGAGCCCAAAATAGCTGTAGCTTTCCTTTAAAATCGTCCAGCTTCTGTATCTGTGTGACGAAGAGAAGTTCGGGCCGGCGGATCTTGCTACTTACTGTGAAGGGAATACGTAATTTTCGCCACATAGAGCTCTTTCCCCACAAGCATGGGAATTTAACTAGGACCGGGTATGCGGGACACACTGCTAGCTGGCCGGCGAAGTCGGGGAAAAAATGCCAAATAAATTATTCAGCTCCCATGTTTTCTTAAACGAAGAAACATTCCAGTAATCAGATGAGAAATAAGCAATTCCCTCCACATGCGATCTGTCCCCAAAACTACACTTTCTCATTGAATTCGCTTCGTATCTGGTGTCTCCCCTGAACAAATTCACAAAATCGCAACCTATATACTGAACATAATCATAGACGACTGTACATCATTTTGTAGACGACAGTGTAACACTACTCTCAGGAGCTTTCTCGAAAATATAAACACACATTTCATTCCCATATTTTTTAATCCACAAAACTATTACATAAATTGTTCATTAGGATATTTTGCTATCCCCTTTTCCTATTAGAATTTTATAAACTTAACCACTACATTATTACATACATACATTACATACATAAACTTAACTACTACATTTTGCGGATCAAATACTGATATCGGTACCACCTGTGCTTTTGCATCCCACATCCCACGTATCTGGATTCTCTATCTGTAGTATTCAAGACGTTTCAGGGCGTTCTTGGTTACTACTTTCCGAACGCAGTCACATCATACATATACAAATGCATATATTATTTTTTGCTGCAATTATTATTATTATTATAAACTAATTACGGTTCAAAAATTGCCTGCTCCAGACGGAAATCGACCGGGTATCGCTGTATACGTCAAGTTACGCTTCTTTGAACAAACATACTTCGTAAATAGGTTGATTCCTTGGTTTGTGCGGCCGGGCTCATTGGATACTCGGCTGTGCGGTGAGAGCCGCGAAAAAGTTGGGCGAGGTGACGTTTAGGCCATCGTGTTGTGGCCGTTATCCTTTTTCTGAGCTACAGTTGGTACAGCTCAGAAGAATGCCACAACATGATGGTCGAAACGTCAGCTCGACCAACTGTTTCGCGGCTCTCACCGTCAAAACTTGAAAGTGTGGCTTCGTGTTGCAAAGTGAATTACTGTGTCCTCCTCGCGTGCGCAGGTGTTCGAAGGGGAGCGCGCCATGACGCGCAACAACAACCTGCTCGGCACGTTCGACCTGACGGGGCTGTCGGCAGCGCCGCGCGGCGTGCCCAAGATCGACGTGACGTTCGACCTGGACGCCGACGGCATCCTCAACGTGTCGGCGACGGACGCCAGCTCGGGGCGGCGGCGCGCCGTCACCATCCGCAACGAGCGCGGCCGCCTCTCCAGCGACGACATCGAGCGCATGCTGGCCGACGCGGAGCGCTACCGCGGCGAGGACGAGCGCTGCCGCGAGCGCGTCGCCGCGCGCAACCGCGTCGAGGGGTGAGCGCATTTACTACCTCAATCAACGCGCTGCCGGCGCTTTCCTCTGCTTAAATCACTCGTCTGCTTCTTACATCATCGGGCGTAGTGCGTAAACAATCTATTACGAATTAAAATTAAATAATAAAAAAATATCAAAAATGTGGGGGCGCAACTCTTCCTGTCAGATGTTCTTAGCGGCTATGGACGACTGACAGTGAGTACGGCGTTGGAGAACATAATCCCAATGCTCCCAGAAAAGTTGTACCGAAGAGTACATTCTTTCAGGGTATTATCAGGCGGCTTATTAGGGAACATTTCTATATTTGCAAGCTCCTTTTTCTACAACACGGCTTTCCATTCTTGTAGATTTATATTACAATACAATTTTGCATTTTAAATTCTGGTACAAAAGGGGATTAGCACTATCGTATGTCACACGTAACAAACTTATCCTATACACCGATTATTCTACGCAGTGGCGCGCTGACGATGGACCTTTTCCTTCCGAGGGATCCAAACCCTTCACCGCAGCCTTAGTAAACAGCAGCGTCCGGGTGATAGAGATGATAGAGATCTGGGTGGGGGGTGGGGGCAATCTGACTGGAGTGACACATTTACTTGTCATAACATGGCGCTAGGACACGCGGTTCGCACGACCACTGCTAAATCGGAGCGCTAAAAACGCAACAAAACACACTTATGAAGTTTCTTAGAATCTTCCAGGCGGATTCGCAAACAAATCATTAGTTTCGCCAACAGGATATAGAGACGCGGCGAATGGGACCACATGTCTCGACTGTTGCACTGGGAGGGGTCTAACGGCTGACTGACGTACGGACGTACGCAAATAACTTATATATAATCTACGGATGCTTTACTTCCATTGTATAATTCTTGTAGTAGATAGCGGTAGCTCGTTGCATAATGATAGTCATTATGATACATCTTCATTATGGTACAGGTGGTTAACTAATCTCACAGAAAGTAACAGTTGGGAAGTAATCATTGGGCATCTTTCTATTAAATGTTTCATTAGATTGTGTTTATTAATGGGCCGTTTCAATCCCTGGAGTGGGCGACTGTAAATCGCACATGCCCTCTCCTGTTTTCAAACCTTAGAAGAAAAGCAGAAGACTTGAATCTGATAATGGAGAGTATCAGTTCCTAAACTGATAAGAAAATATACAGAATATTGATATTTCTTTCATAAAAACTCGAATTACTTCCATCCTTGACTGTTTTATTCATTTCAATCATTTAACTTAGAGCAGGCTTTTAGATTAAACAGGTCTCGTGGCGCTTGTTCTCTGGCACTTTCTGCGGGATTGCAGGGCAAACAGCGTTATCGTCAAGGAAGTGAGAATGTTTGCTATTACTCATGAGGACCATTCCGCTGTTGCCCACTAAGTTGTTGACTCATCCACGTTTTGGTTCGTCATTCCCAATTCCCTCTACCCGATCTTGCGCGGTCCGGGAGCAAATTCACCCCCCTGCCAGGAATACAGTCTAAAGATGGCTCCACAAATTCGGCATTGGTCGAGCAGCGAGCTACTGCTCGCCCGATCCCGAACAGCCCATGTGTTCGGCGAACGTTCGCTCCCTTTGACGTAACCTAAAGACCCGTAGGCGCTGGGTAGGGCGAATACGGAACGTTCGTCGAATCGCAAGCCACCCGTCCCACCACTCGGGATTCGCCGACCGCCGCATGCGTCATGTGTGAGTGTGTGTGTGTGTGGTGCGCAGGTACGTGCTGAGCGCGCGGACGGCGCTGGAGCGCGCGGCGGGCGGGGCGGGCGGAGCGCGCGTGCCGGCGGCCGAGCTGCGCGCGGCGCGCACCCGCTGCGAGCGCGCGCTCGCCTGGCTCGAGCGCAACGCGCACGCGCCCAAGCAGGAGTACGAGTTCGAGCTGCGCGAGCTGCAGCGCGTGTGCGGGCCCGCGCTCGCCCGCCTCCGCCGCGCCCCCTCCGACGGCGCCGACGCGCCCGCCGCCGCCGCCTACGTCGTGGACAGCGACGGCGACGACCAAGACGAGGTGCCCGCCCCCGCCGCGTCGGCCGGCCGGCCCCGCCAGCGCGCGTCCGTCTACGAGGTGGACGACGACGACGAGGACGAAGCGACCGCCCGGCGCAGCCGCTACGGCCCCAAGCGGCCCGAGCCCTACCCCGACCCGCCCAGCGGCGTCACCATCGAGGAGGTGGACTGAACCACGCGCGCGCGTGGGCGTGGGTTCGACACGACGAATCGCTTAGGTCTTGTACCGCACGACAAAAGGCCAGTCAGAGCTTTTCACAACTACTTTTCTTTAGGAATCGTAATTTACAACTGTTCAGTTGCATTCGAAACAGATGAACGGTATTATTGTTTTGATGTTTGGTATAGGCAATATTTGTACACGTATGAACATACTATTTATAATTCTACAACGTTTTATTACAAGAATATTCTGTAAACTAACTGAACAATTACTTTAAGACACTAAAAAGCTGATCATATTAAATCAGTCTGCGTATCACTCGATACGATGAGCAGGCACACTTTAACTAATGCGATTTCTGTAAATACTTTTTTCATGCGAAATCAAAAGCTTGACGCATGACGATATTTCCAATGTCCTCTATGACGTCTATGTTTTCACGTACCTGAAATAGCGGCCTGCGTATTGGCTTCTTTTGTTGTAGAACGTTCTTTTTATACTCTATGTAATCATATTTATTTGTAAATAAGAACCTTAATAAACCATACACGAAGCATTCCACGAGTATTTCGTCCGCTCTCCTTCCTGCTTCCACGACCCGCAGCACAAAAGGAAAAGTGAGGCGCGGGCTAAAAATACACCTGCCTGAGAGAAGTTGGACGAAGGCAGTCGCCAGAAATATCGGTGGAAAACTGCTGGAGCGCGGAGGCGGCGCCGCCACCGCCGAGCCGCGGCGCGGCACGGGACGGGACGGGACGGGACGGCGGGCGCCAGCCGCCCCGAATACCCGCGCGCCGCTTTTAGCGCGTGACCAACCTGCGGGGCGCGCGCCACGCGGAAGTCGCGTGGCTCTGCGAGGGAGACCACGAACGATCACGTGCCGAGGAGGGTCGACTAGAGTTTATGGGGGAGGGGGCGGTCCCTCTCCGCTCTGTAAGGGCGCCTTTCCACGTCGCCACGGCGCCGCGCTTCCTACAAGCAGCAGAACACCGCAGCCACGGCCGCACCGCCGCCCGCCGTGGAAGGGGGTGGGGTCTTCAGGGGTATGTTTCGCCGACCCTCCGGCGACAACGAACAAGGGGACCGCAGCAAGTAAACCGCAGCGACCGGCGGCACAATGGGAAGGCTCCTATTTAAAGCTGTACTCTGCTAGCGGTGATGTGCACGCCCTCCTCCGCTTCGCGTGGCTGGAGTTCGGCGTTGGCTGCCTCAGCAGCCGCCACCCGCTGCACGTGGGAAGGTCTCCATTCAAACCAATGCTCTGCTACGCGCCGCGCTGCTCGGAAGCGCACCGCCGTCGCGACGTGGGAAGGAGCCCTAAGACATCTTTACAGGGTACAGTTTTCGTGCAGATTCTCGCACTTCGAGATTCAGAACTAGAAGTAAAAGACGCTTAAAGTCGTGCTTACACGGTCTCCACGATTTCTGAACGTTGCCACGACACCGTCAGAGGCTCTGCCGGCATACAAATAAATTGTACCGTCCGAGTACATTCATTAGCAACATAAGTGTACGTGAGTTTTCGACCACTTCATTAACACTTTTTAAGGATTAATGAAACACTGTGAGAAAAAATCGAAAGGCCGTCATCGTCGCTACAAGCGTTATGATGGCAGCAAAGGCTTCAGCGGGTGCACACAAAAACACATCGAATAGACCACGTCTTGGATGCAGAAGTGAACTCACATTTGCCGGAGGCAGTAAAAAACTCACCAGAAAAGCCGAGAACTCGCATCCATCTCATTAATCGTACCTAACCTAACCACAAAATTGAAAAAGATGGACTATTTCCGTAGTACATAAATCCGCTAGTGAATGTTTCTGCTCTGAGAGGCGCTACAGTCAAACTAAGTTTTCTGTATCAAAAAATCGAACATCTTCAAAAGTTTTCGTGCAGAAATCGAGCAGTCTGTACTGCATGCATTCTGTATGTCCAATCTGCACGAAGTAGAGTATAAAAGGAGCGCAGAGTACAATATTCGACAGCAATCTCGTCCTTTGGCGCTAGCTTAATCTACTCTTCCCGGTTCCATCCTCTTACACGATTTTCAACTCTAACATTCCCCTAAGGAAGCGTCAAGCGTTCTGGATGCAAGTTCTGGGCTGTCCTCTACCGTAAACACAAACTAATTGTCGCAGTTTCCCTACCCGGTAGACCCTACCTACACGTGTTACCCGGAAGAGTTCTGGATTGAATAACAGCAGTATTTTTACCGGTGGAGCGAAGAATGATTTTTAAGTCTAAGGAAATTAAAGAAATATCTGTTAAAAACAAATAACATTGAGAAGGGTTTGGTTGAATCTGACCGCAAACACGCGCACAATGATTTTCTGACGACACTTTTCATGGGGAATAAAATCATTACATACATAGAGATGGATTTAAAAATTATTATTCTGAAACTCGTTTCCATCAATCAACGAAAAATAATGTTTACCAAATCACAAAAACGAAATCTTGAAGCCCTTAATACCCCAATCTTCCTAGTGTGAAAAAACAAATTTCCATCAACTATTCACATGACAAAATGTTAATTGTCTTTTAGATGATAAAGTATTATTTTGAAAACTACCAATACCCACAAAAGCATGCTTTCAGTAACATCGAACCATTAAATGGGAAACTAGTCTGTATATTCAATGGATATCGTTGCAGTAGTAGAAGAATATCACCTAACAACACTGATAACACCCATTCTAAGAAATAAACATGTACAACTTTCTCGAGATCCACATGGAAGATCCATGTGGATCCGCTACCTTACCAATCCATTACCTAACAAAACTTCAAAGAATTTCCTGCATTCATTCTTGTAACAATTACACAAATTAAGGATTATGTACGTTACGTTAATGTCTGAATTTGCTGTAAGAATGAATTAATCAACTGATTACTGTTCAAAATAGGTGGAAATTTAACAATTTCGAACCATACTTAAAAGTGAAATACGATGAAGTGCTCATTAGGCAACGCCAGGTGGCTAATCGAAATGAAGTACTGTATAGTCACAAAATTCAATAGATATTATGATAAAGAGGGATGAGACTGCGGTTGAATTGAATTATTGAATTGAATTAATGCCTTATTTTACGTGCTGTTGGAAGTTTATAAAGGTAAAGAGTCTTAAGGTGGGTAGTTTCGAAATTCACCGTGTCACTCCAACTGTGTCGTCTTATTGTTAGTGGTTAGGCGGAAGAGCAGGCCCTATGGCCTGAGCCTCGCCATTAATAAAGACATTATTATTATTATTATTATTATTATTATTATTATTATTATTATTATTATTATTATTATTACACCATTCCACCTACCCATCACTAATTTAAGCACAAAATGTAACTCGGTTAACGCCTCGTGTTGGCACATTGACCGCCAAATTGCTTCAAATTTGGCCCATCGTTTCTAATAAGGCACTTTTGATGGTCTTTGAAGGAATTTCAGAGGAAACATTTCAAACTACCCGCGTAGAAGATCGTATTTACTCAAAAAGCCGCGCAAATTTCTTCCTGGTCGCCAAATACTCACTTCTTTCGTACCAAATTCCTTGACGTAGATTGTCAACTGTTCCCTGTTAGTTCGGAGCGACACTGCCAGATCGCATTAGCTCCTGGGCAACCCCGCGTAAAATATACCATTGTCAAAATTTTGCGAAACCCACCTAGTTCCACGGCAGACGCGACGACGAGTCACCAGAAGCATTGTCATCAGAGGCACTGGATGCAGTCGTTAAGTAACAATACGAAATTCTTAAAGAAACGTTTGATTTCGTCTGGACAGGGGTAACTGGCAATTTCTTCAATATTCGATAATTCTTTCTCTAAGTAACAATCTTTGTCAATTATGTGTCGTTTTCTTTTCCAGTCTCATAAAAAAACTACCGATAGAAGAGGCGATGTTTCGTTGCAACTTCGACTAATTGCTCTCTCGACTTATCTTACGAGAATTTCGCAGCCTCAACACCTCGCTACGGCACTTCCGAGTTGGGGCTTTGGCGATTTAAATAAAACAGCCTCGCGACTAGGTAACTCGAAGAAAGTTATGTAATGCTGTGCGAAAACGGCGAATTATCGGCAGAAAAACTCTTATTACAGGACCCCGAAAAAATGTATAAATCCAGTAGCTATATCCGAGTATTACGTAAGCATTACTAAAGGCAAGAAAGTGTGTGCGGTTTTAGCTAATTCCCGAACCATTGGTTTTTAACCACAACGGAAGCATTCGATCGAGTTCGTGTTAACCAACTATATAAAATTAAGCAGAACATTATGGCATTAATATAGGGCTTCACGAAAGACATTAATGCGAGGACAATGTTTTCACAAAAGTATTTTCCAGTGCCAAACTCTGTAAATGCCGGCGATCCACGCCTATCGCTCACTTCGGTCTAGTGTCAAGGGCTCGTGTGCTCTGGAGTTCAGTAGCTTTGACCTCCAACTACTCAGGCAATAGAGCGCCTCCGCAATACCCCTGACGTCAGTGATAAAGTTACGATGCGCAAGTCCTCCAACCCGTATCTGCCGTCCCTACCGCTCAGCAAACGGACAAGACTACCGCCTGCCAAAAAATGACTCAAATATTTAATTTAATCATTTCATACGGTAATTCTAAGGTTTTATACCGGCTATGAAATGAATTTCAATTACAATTTTTAAACAAAATCTTGTTTGTGAAGTACCAATATACTTTCCTCCTAAATACTGTTTTGCACACAACTCAATTAAGTTTCATAATTTAGGAAAGACAATGACACTTCAAAAGAATAATTTAAAAAAATTAAAAAGTTGAATAAAATAAGTCCTCAAGCAGTAATAAGAAATACAGGTCAATATTCACAAGCAGCATTCACAATCATGTACAATATTTAAGACCTTTCTGTGGCAACAGTTGAAAAAAGAATGGATCGACATTTTCTACTTCTCTATTTCTCTTCTCTGTGTATCATAATAAAAACACTAACAATAAAACAACAACTTAAATGGTCACATCTCTGAGAAATGTAATAAATAGATTGATTTAAATATCTGTATTTATAATTCAACCAAATGATGTAGATGGATTTTAGTTTTTAATTCATAACCTCTCCAACACTCAGGTCAAATGTTTAAGAAATATATTTGCAAAAGATGTACACTGATATTCTAGAATCATAAATCATCTTTGGAAACATTTTGGAAACTATTTTTTTTTTAAGTAAAAATGAGAGACATAATAAATAAAAATGTAAAAAATTAACTTTAAATAAATTATGAATTACTTTCTTAGTGCAGTACTATTAACAAAAATTACTCATTTTATCAACAGGATACTTTAATATTCGTTCACTTCAGAAACTCAATCTCTTATGTTTATATAAAAGACAAGTTAAAAAGGAGAAAAATAATTTTAAAAAACTTGACACTTACCCTCTAGGAGAACGTCTGCTTTTCCAATGGGTAAAGAATAGTCAGAAACAGGAACTTCTTCAACAGCAGCACGATAGAGAATTTTGGGTTCCAAGAAAATACATGGGTCCTTGTCTCTAATACATGACAGAAGCAATCCTTTGGCTTTAATAGGCCCACGTGGAATGACAATCTGAAATTTTCCAACACTCAAGTAAGGTTTTATGCAAACGACAATAACACAAAAATTTTCTAGTGTGAAAGATGTTCGTAACCTTCAGTCCTGGTGTATGAGCAAAATAAGCTTCAGGGCTCTGAGAATGATACAGTCCTCCATGACCCACAGCACTGCATGGTGCTCGAACTGTTAGGCTTCCACAATCAAACATATTTCCACTTCGATACCTGCATTTTGCCGCTTCATTCACAAGCTGAAAAATACAATGTCATTATATTAATTATGTATTAATAGACAATAATATGATACCATCAAATATCCCTACCTGATCAAATGCAGGAAATATATAATCTGCAAACTGCATCTCTGCAATTGCAGTAGCACCAACATTTGCTAAACCAATCCCAAATCCAGCAATTCCTTGTTCACATAATGGTGTATTAAATACCCTTTCTTTCCCATATTTTTTCTGAAGTCCTAATGTACAGCGAAATACTCCTCCAAACGCCACATCTTCACCAAATACAACTGAAAAGTCACAGAACATGTGACATCGCATGTCAGTTTTCGCAACAACAATATAGACATCTAAAACTACCTGCTGACGGATCTTTTTCCAGAGCGATGTCCAGAGCGCTGTTGATCGCTTGAAACATATTGAGTTTCACTGTTTCTCCTGCAACATGTAATACGATAACATGAATTTACTCATAAGTATATCAGCTTCAATGAGGTTAAGCACGAACATTAAGCTAAAATACCTTTTTCCTCCGGTGGTTTTTCTGCAACGAATGTAAAATGCATATTTCGGTTTGATATAATAGCCAATGCACAACTTGCATGTTTGAAATTCAATTTCAATTCTCTGCAATGCTGCAACACGAACCGTGAAGTCACCGCCACCGCCATGTTCATTGTATCTTGTAATATCAATGGAAAGTTACCACACTTCACTCCAAGTATTTTCCAATTGAAAAATAACACAGCAGGAAATAAGTACATATATTCTTATACACGAAAAGTGTAGAATCTGCTCATAGTACTGTCAGAGCATAACATTTTGTAAAGATTTCATGGAATGATTGACCATGGCTTGACAACACAAGTTGCGAGAATACGAAAGGGAATGTCTTTCATCAACGTTCTTAGCGTGCTGCTGATTTGTTTGTGAAGGAAGGAGACGCCCATAGCAAGTGGCAAGTTGTTTATGGCAGAATTAAATTTGTTAGTACAATTGGCATTGACGAATACACTATAAAGAGTTGTTATTTTAGACAGTACTTCTAATGAATAATATGATGCGGTTACACAAGTTCATATACCTCTGCCTTATTAGTTTTCTGGCTGTGTTTTGTGGGACAGGTAAGTTTTTCATATTGTTTACATGATAGTAAATATCAAACATAAATTGTTTTATAAGTATATTATTATAATATTACAACAGAGCATTAATTGCATTGCTCACAAGATGTTTTAATTTATTCTCTGGTGTTTTGTAGCCAGTGGAATTTCATGTTATCAGTGTCTCAGCACTGATCATGAAAACCCATTTCAGTGCAACGAGTTTATGACAGATGCAGATATCACCCCACAATCATGCGACAACATCTATAATGCCCAGTATTGTGTGAAACATACAGGCCGTTATGAAGGTGTCAAAATTTTGAATTTTGTCAGTAATTTATGCTTGCTGGCTTGGGGCATTAACATTTTGTGAAATGTGAAACATTTGAAATTCCATTGAGTTATATAGAAGAATTGTTTTAATGTTTCATATTACCACAAGAATCTCACTTCATGTCTTATATTTGAACAATGTTTCCTTATTAACCACCTCCCATTAATTTATTGAAAACATAATTGCAAGTTAACATCTCTTTAGAACTTTACAGTAGTCCTTTCTTGTAGTTGCTATTTCCCTGGATTTGGTGTAATGAATCTGGTTCTCTTTTGCATGCTCTCTTGTAATTTAAGCTCTGAGTTTGGAATGTTACCAATGTTCAACACCTTTTGACATTCGCTGCTCTGATCTTCTCATTCATGATGAAACTCTGCACCCAACTAACTGCAATGATATATATGGGGCTGAGTATTGCATCAAAACTACGGGTATTTTTGGAGGTATGTTATGACTCATGTTATGTTTGTTATTAATATGTGGATACCATATTAGTTATTGGCTGTGTATCATAATCAAATACCTGTATGTTATTATCCTCCCTCATTAATATATATTTTTCTTTATAATAGTAACAACATAAAACTTATTCCTGGACATAAATAAAAATTGGTTGTGCTATTTACAAAGTGAGATTTGTTTTATCTTACCAGTAGCATAGAGAGAAAAAATATTATTTTTATACGCTTTCTTGTAAAACCTAGTCACAAGTCTGAAAAGAAATTGTTACCAGTAATAAGTCGAAATGTGACTTTCTACTACACAGAATACTTTTAAGTACGATTGATGTTAGTTTGATTTTATATATTAATTTATTCATCTTTTGTTATTCATAAACAGCCATTTGCAACTTGTAGTAAACATCCATCAATACTTGAAGATAAAACATTTTCTACATTTCATCAAAATAATTTATTGAAATGTTTTCTATTATAATAAGATTGAAAAGATAGTAAATTTGATAACAAAAATTCAAAATATGTATAATTTTGTTATCCACCTTCTCATCTCTTCAATCTTAAGCAAGATAACCTTTCAATAAGTTATTTTCATGAAATGTAAACAGTTTTTAATTTTCCTGTATTGATGGATATGTACTACAAGTTGCAAATGACTTCAAGAATAACAAGTGACCAGATAAATTAATACAAATTACTGATTTTCAACTATCAGACAAACTTGAACATGCTTTTCAAAATCACTTAGTACAATCGAATTCTTAATTACATTTTTAAGCATTTTCTTTTAGGTAAGAATATTGATTTAACATAACCTTTTTGTTTTAATTTTTTATTTTAACTGTCTTTTGATATTTCATTCAGGTGTCAACATCATAATCTATTTCACATATTAAATTTTCGTGATTGAGTATTTTAAAAAGTGAATATAGTCTTTCTAATCAGCAAAATATAAAACATGACTGACTACAAGATCTTCTGAACATATCCTCTTACCAGTGGCATAGCAAATAATAAATTATTTGCTTCTAAATATAATTGTGAAATCATTTTAATGATTTATGAACCTTTGACGAAGATAATAATGATTAATGGTCCTGTATCACAGTAATTTCAAAATGTTAATGGACAATTGTGTTAAAGAGTGCATCTTATGAAATGATTAGGATTAAAGCAGATCAAATTCAGTTTCCATATCCTCACATAACATAGTAATAAGAATTAACATTGTTTATAACATTTATTTGGCTGTTAATAAATAAATATTACAATGTTCTGTTTTGTGTATTAGGTGGACTTGGTACAAAGCGATTTTGCTCTCCGCTTGATTTGGGCAACTATTGCAATTACATCCAACAGCCTGGAGATGAATTGGAATACCGCTCATGTGTATACACATGTTCTACAGATGGATGCAACCCTGCAAGTGTTTCAGAACCAAAGTTTTTCCTTTTATTACTGACAATTGGTTTAGTAGTCACTAATATTGCCCTTCCTTGGCTTAGATGAGACTAAATGAGTTTCAGGAAAGACTCAAGGCAATGCAATTTCACATATCACTTATGTGAATTCAATATTTACAAGCCAAAAAGCTTAGTAAATCTCTGATATTCAGGAATTGTCAATTTTAGTATTTATGATTGTTATGAGAGATTTCACATGCATAGTCATTTACAGAAGAAAAAAAAAGCAAGTGAAATTATATAGAATAAGGTGAGAACTATGAGGATAATGTCACCAGTTCAACTTTGTTAACTTGTGGGACTTTCACAATCTACCTTTATATACTTTATAGTCTACTCTTCGGTCATAATCACATTTTATAGTTGTATCACAATTGTCAGGTGAATTTGGATAAAGTGCCTTTTATATGACCACAACATATGTTATTGATTGTTAGACTGAAAGGATCAAAGCATTAATTTCATTAACTTCATTCATGTGTTAGATTTACTTTATATGTAAATAGGTTTTTTGATATTAATATTACTCGGATTCATTGTTTTCTACATTCCTGTAAAACATTTACATTTTATGATAACATTGATTCATGTTTTAGTTATGTTTTACTAATCTAATTATTTTTTGAAACATTGTTTTAAATTGTTGAGTCCAAGTAAATGATCTTTAATTAGATATAAATCAAGGCAAGATGCAGTAAAATGTGAATTTGAAAATAGATTCATAACTTCTCAAGAAATGTAGAAGTTATATTCTTTACTTTCCAAATTTTGTTTTTGTTAATTTATGGTGTATTTGTAGATCAAAACTCGAATATTGAGAACCATCTTACACACATTATCAAAAATGTAAATGATTAAATAAAACTTCAGTTTTGTTTGTTAATATAACATAGATAAATAGTGTCAAGACGTTTTGTCTGAATTTTAAAATGAGTGTATTGGTTAATGTGCAAATTGAATTTATGAAATATACCCCAACAATGGAGGTTATGTTTTTTAATGAAGTCTTTTATGCTTATGAATCTCCTAATGTTGATGTCTAGTAAGACATTTATAAATAAATAGAATTTCAACCCGCCATCCATCGGTTTGAGACCGCTACGGCACCACTGCCTTAGCGATCTCGGCCATCCGAACCGGCTTCAATTTCCTTGTTGTGGAACATAATTTCATTTATTCATATATAAATTCCAGCACTAATTCCAGTTTTGTTTCACATTAGTATTTACTGTAATTGTGTATCAATTTAATATTTTTACTTTGTACTTCAACACGGAATATTGTGCTTCCAATTTTTGCACATGATATTATAAAGGCTCTGGTTTGTTAGTATTATTTTAAATGTTCTAAAATTAGAGTGCTTGTTTTTTTGAAGGATTTCTTCAAGTTATCAGCCGTCCACATTTTTATATTGTATTCAACAAAACCGTCCATAAGCATGTGATATCTAATGATATGATATTCATTGTGTATTTTCATTTAAACTTTTTTAAACATGTACTTTGTGTGAATTGCTGTGAAATATAGTATATAAAATTGTTGAACTTAAATTATTTCATATTAACAGAGATGTTCAAATATATTAACTGCATTATGCAACTAGCCCCGAAGTGTTTGATGAGTTTGTCACAAGAACTGTAATGTATAATTTTGTTCAGATATTTTATAAACTTAATTTTATATGAATGTATGTAAAAAGTAAATAAATCAAATGATATAAACGTACCATGGAGACTATTGACTATTGGTGGTTGTATTTTTCCATGTCTAGAAATAAATCCAGTCTTAAATTTTTTTTAAAATTATAACATCAGGTTACATCCAAATCTCATGTAATTGACAAAATCATTGAAAGGAATACACTCTCACAAAGCTAAGATAATTATTATTTGGCAGTTGTTCGAAAGAATACTACTCTTGTAGGTATGAGAAAAGTATGAACTTTAAAACTTGTAAAATCAAAAAAATTATCAGAGATAATAAAATCACATTGATGTGGTTAAATTATGACATAAAATAAGAAGTTAGGAACTTTATAAATTTCAGGAAATTGTAACTACTATGGAACCCCTCATAACTATCTCCCACAGGTCCAGGATACAGTTGTTACAAAAAACAAATGGTCTGATAATTAGTGGAATGATAGAAAAAGAATGAAGGTGTAGATAAATTAGTACATGTAGTATACTGTAAAGTAAAAGTATTTGTATTTGTATTGATTATCTATATGAATATTGATATAAATAAATACCAAACAAACTACTGTAAAGTACTTCAATGTGCTAGGTTTAGCATAAAATCAAGAATTCAAGAGGAGTAAGAAGAAACGGGAGATATATGTTGGGTATTCTACTGTTTTAGATGGTAGTGGATACAGCAAGATGAATGTAATTTGAAACTATTGTTTATATTATCACACACTACACAGTTAAAACATTTGTTTAATTTAGTATTGGCTGTAAGAGCATCTTCAACAGAAAGGTGCAAAGTAAAAGTGGCAGATTTAGGCCAAGGTGAACCATTCATGCTTCTAGGGGCTAAAGGTACAAAAGTATATGGTATACACATTTTTGCATACATACATGTAATTATCGTAGAAACTCAATAGGTCAGAAACAATTATCCAATCTTGCTCCTCCCTGCATTAAGTCAGATACATTCCAAAATAGCATCTTTGAAGACTTCAGTAACTAGCCTTTGCTAAAATAAAATGAAGAAAATCAACATGTAAGTAAAATAGAAATATTTAATTTTTTACATCATAAAAAATATAACGAATTAAATTTTTAAGTAATGGACTTTTAACACAAATATATATTTAAATATATTTTATAGATATTAGATATTTTATTTTATACCATCATGATTAGGGGCCACAAAATCGGACGCTGCAAAGTGAAAATAATACATTTAGATAATATAGCATTAATAATAATATGTTAATAATACCTTTCTCATAATTATCATTGAAATGAAACTGAAAATGAATTATTACAATCTTCTTTTTTTATCAAACCCTTCAATAAAGGAAACAAGCTTAAAAATTCCTCTAAAATGACTAGTACTTCTGTTTTTGGAGAGCTATTTGAATATAACATTGCATATCAATGTATGTCATTGCATGTACCACTAATGCATTGTAAATTTTCTGATAAATCTGCTAATCGCTACACAATTCATGGATTAATCAATCATTTCCCCTGCACTTATAGTATTACCTCTCACAAAAAAGTAATATATTTCAAGATATGTATACATTCATCAAATATACTTTAATACTAATTACAGAGTTCAATACTTCAGCAGATTATAGAGAAAAAAAGAAAGATTATAACTTACCAGCATAAATGATGTTCATTTGCTTTGAAACTACTACTTTTGACAGTGTGCTTAGACAGAAAATATGGGAAATTGTGAGAGAAGGAAGAAGAACCAGAACATTAGTCAAAAATATACAGAGCTTATACAAATAGTTTATATCAAGTTCATTTTGCAAATTAATTAATCTCAAAGTAAACTTTTATCAAATGCTTGTAATAAAATATAATGAAGGTATGACAAAAAACATCATTGTCATTAACTAAATGATTAAAGAATAGAATCAGATACCTCAAGCAGGAATAAAGATTACAAACACCCAAAAATTATTGACAATGTTATTTGCAGATGAATAGCCAAAATAATTGACTCAGAAGTCATGCTATAGAATACAGTCTTTGAATTGAGCAATAAAGGCAAAGAATATCTAGGCTTCTATGGAAAATAATATTTTCTGAGGCAAAATAGTAATAGAAAATTCAGTACTTTGTTATTTGTAACTGTGTAATAAATACCTTATTTCTATTGAAATGATCCCATAAATTTCATGACACTTAATTTTAAAATTTCTTTATATTTTCATTTGCTCAATTGTACAATGTATTGATGATCTTTTTCAAGCAAATATATTTTTATAAACATATATCAGAATAAGTAATTATTTGTAACACTTTACTTAGTAATTATTTGTTCATAAGAAAATAACTTTTTAATCAAAAAACAGGTGGACCTTAAAATTCTTATAATGCATACTTGCCCAATAACCTGTTTTGTGAATGTATGTTTTAATGTAAAATGTTTTTTACTAGATTTATTTGTTAAAAAAATACATGAACTTGAAATATGATGTTTATATTTATGAATCAAGAATTATAATAATTTGCTCTAGGTAAGCTTCAAAGATTTTGAACAAATAATTATCTAGTAACTAAAGTGTAAAACAAACAGTCAAAATTCAGAGTTAAAAAATAATTAGAAATATATCAGAAAAAATAAAAGAATACCAGACCAGTAGAATAGGAGAAGGCATATAAAAAGAATGGACAAAAAGTGATTATCACAGGTGGGATTAAACTACAGACCCAAAGATAAAGGACGTAGAGGCAGATCAACAAGATGAGACCACCAGGAACCCTAAATTGCATCGAGGATAGTGTTTTCTACTTACTAGAGGATCAGAAATACCCTTTCTAAACTGGAGGTGTTTACATTCTTGTCTATGATGACGAATGTATTTCCATAACATTTACATCTTATTTAATTGGCTTATTTAACATGTGGATCAACAAGAAGGTGACATCGACAGGAACCTTTAATTGCATCAAGAATAGTGATATTCTACTCACTATGAGGAACTACCATTCCTAAACTGGAAACTTTGTTGTCATTGGTGATGATGACAATGGTGATGTTCATGGCAATGCTGCAACTGCTGATGATGACGATTCTGAAGATGATGAAATGTATTTTCCATAATATTAGTATCTTATTTAATGTACATATTTCGCATACTAAAATTATGGATGATTTTTTAAGAAATATTTTTCCATTGGATAATTTATCATAGATAACTGATTGTTAACATACATGTTAACTCATCCTTGATTACTTTTGAGAACAATAGCAATAAAGTTTTGATACTGCTAGCAGATAAAGGTGAACCAGTTTCATGTCCTTCCGAAACATTTTCTATAGATTTTCATCAGACATTTATAATATAATCTACGTTTTCTTAAACTGTCATTAGTTTCTTCCTTAATGAAATGAAAATTTATAATAAGTATGCTTAACAGAACATATTTTAATAGGACTGGTGTATGCAACTATTTAATTTTAATAGTTCTGTTATATTTTTGGAGATTTTAGCAAATGATTTACTCTTCTTCTGTTTTTTCTGTCTCTTATTTAGGGAGGGATAGGGTGTATCTGAAAGGTGGGTTGGTTAGATCAGTTTTTCATATTTCAAGTATCATTTAATTTAATTTCTTCTGAAAGCTTGTTGTTAGAATACATATTAATTTACACTACCTATTTGATTATTAATAGTTTTGATTTTCCATTGGTTTAATCTTTTTGAAATTCATTACTTCCCTGTCATTGTACAGTGCAGGTTGGGGCAGGTGGAAGAACATGGAAAATATTACATCATTTATTTAATGAAAAAATTATTTTCACCAACTGTGCTGTTTGATTGTCTTAAACAGAAGAATGCAGCTCCTAAGTCAATAAATACTTATTGCTAGTTACTTATGATAATTGTAGGTAATATAATGTTATAATTATTTATTTATACTAAGTATTGTGTGTATTTCAAAAAAGCATGCTCAAGAACAATTTCCATATAAGGTATTTCATTTGAGATGTCCCATTGATATACTTTGTAAAGTACTGTGAAGTATCGAAGAATTATCATATTGAAATACATTTTTCTTGTAAATCAATTAATGTAACAGACTCATTGAATTTTTTTCTGTTCAAATGTTGAACTTTTAATTGATTTCAAAAATATTGTATATGATGATGTTTTAAACTGAATCTGTTTCAAAGAAAAATTAAATTCCATGATGAATGCCAATATCGTATTAAAATTGCACGCAAAATTGCACACATTTAAGAAAATTGGATGTATATGACACCTCAGTTCTTTGCATGATGTAGGTGAAGCGCTATTCATCACATTTATTCAGACACTCACAATAGGTAACATAGACATGATAGAAACACCCACTTTTTCAAAAGATATTGAGAAAAGAAATTAACATTTCTTTCACCTTTGAATATTGTCTCCTATCTCAAATCAAGGGAAATGGAAAAGAAAACTTTCCCATGAGCATTCTGAAGGTTTATTCAGATGAAGTTGGTGGTAAAGATTGTTTTTGTTTCATTCATCAATTAATTGATTTGTTTCTATTAATACTTCAAATCCTGTCCTATCTTCTGAGTTATGGGGGTCTTCAGTTTTTGTATGATATTGTTATAAATATTTTATAATACCCTTTCCTTTCTGTTTTACTGACACTGAAAATTATACAAAGCAGATGTTACTAAATTATTTTAAGAGTGGGGGTAATTCAACTTCCTTCACAATATATGTGGGATGAGGGATTTATGTGTTGTTGCGGCAGTACAAGTTGTATACTCTCTGGACAGAGCAAGTGAGGTGGTAGACCTGGGAGGGTGAGAGCAGTGAAGGAATGGATCAGTAGATAGACAGAGATGATTGAGGTGCATGTTGTGAAGTGACATTTATACAAGTGTCTGTATTTTGTATACCTTTAAGTTGTAAATTAACCGAACAGTTTGACATTATACGCTTCTCTTAATTAACCTGATCCCACATATAAAATAAACACAATATAAGCGGTTTACAAAGGATGTTTGATCAGATTATCAATAATTGGAAATTTGTAGGA